TATATATATATATATATATATATATTTCGCTCCGAGGTCGGCTCGATAATCTGGACGCAGCCTGAGATCCCATTGTACTCAATACGGCTAAAACAACTTCCAACAGGAAACTATAGAAAAAAAACAGGAAAAAAACTACAGGATACTTCTCGTTTCTTTCTATATGTATAACATACTATACTATCTTGCTTCTTTCAGAAGTAAAGACGAAGAAAGAGATTCCGGTAGGAATATATTCGGGGAATGGATCGAATCCCATACTGAGCCGCCATCATGAAAGGGCCTTTCTTATTTCTCTATCCCTTCTTAGACCCTAGAAATTTTTGTCTGAGTCCCTTGGAAATTTTGTCCGCAATCCCTTGAGCGCGGGAACAGCTGCTCAGGCAAATAAACTAGAGGTCCAAGGATATCATGGGTCAACCTTCCAAAACCTTCCAAAACCTTCCGCCGGACCTACCATTATTTCTCCTGGTCCTCGCCTTGCTCTTATTCTTTTGTTACCTCCCTTCTTGCCAACATTCTTACCGTCGCATTCCTACCAGGTATCCAGCCGTGATTGTTCGCAAACAATATCTGAACCCCGAATGAGAATTCATCGAAGAAATGTCCGCATTGAAACACTTGGTTTATTCAGTCGATATCTTTTTAACAATGTCATTATTCTCCACATTAACAGATACTGATCTACCTGAAGTATCTGAAAGTATCTATAGGCGCAACATATAAGATATATTTCTTCTTAAAATATAATTTATAAATAGTTTGTCCTAACAATAATTTGGTTTAATAATAATTGGTCTACAACTTCTTATTTCTACATGTACATTACTAACCCAGACAGCAATTTGATAAATATTTATTACTATTAATTTTTTTAAATGTTATGTAAATATTTTATACATATTTTATATAAAGCTTTATTTGAAATATTATTAAAATGTGGACTAAATATTTTGTGTAATATTATAAAATAAAAATAAATATTTTTCTATATGGTAAGTGTATATATCTACTGATATATCTACTGATTTTTAGGACCTATTTAATGCCGAATCCGAACGGCGCTGATAATCATAGATCTTTTGATCTCACCAGGTGGAGTCCATTTTCGGTTCCTTAAACGCGAAAAATCGCATTTAGGCGCAGGTGGAATTGAGAACTCGGATCTATAGATCGCGAGTCATTCGCACCGAGCGACACTACAGTACATGATTGATAGGATATTGGTTAACAGAGGGCTCGATTCTCGAACACTTTTTGTTAATTGAAAATCAATCGATCAATCGTTAATCCTTAAATATACATATAGGTACATGTCTGTTTATACTGAATTAGAATCGGTTAACGATTTCACTATTGAAATTTTAAAACTTAGAGGAATATTAAAATAATCGAATTACGAAGAGTTATCAGCAAAAGAACGAGATTGCGAAAACTGTTTTGTAAATATTGTACAATGACGTGATAAATATCAATGACATTTTGTATTTTAATTTATAAAAAAAATCTAATGAAATTTTAATTATTATCGGATATTAATACAAGATATGAGTAATGAAATCTTGTACTAACACCTAGTACTGATAAAAATTGTATTACGCTTCTTTTTTATAAATTAGATTAGAGTACTTAATGTTACTGACCGGAAACTTTTTCACGCCACTGTATATATACACATATATATGTATGTATATATATATAGATATATTTATATTTATAGTTTACAATTAAAAAGAGTGATAAAAAAATACGTTGAAAACGTAGAATTTTTTTATGTGAGGTCTAAAATTTATTTTCAAAATATACATCGAGTACGGATGTACCATTCATTTATCTTTTTCTATTATTTGTCTGGCTGCAGTTGATACGACACTCGCGACACAAGTGCTCAAAGTCAATCAGATTGTGTGATGTATTTCTTTTTCATTGCTATATCTCTCCATATTGTGATAAACTTTATAAAAATGGAGTTATATATGATATACTAACAAAATTGTGAAACTGTGATAAAGTCAGACTATTCTGACGATGGTATTTACAAACACAGGCAGAAATGATGGTTCATGGAACAAAATAAGGTTTCAATCCTGCGTATTTGTTCGACGTGTTTGAAAGTGGACGTTCCCGAAAACAGAGACTTCTACATAAATGTTTTGTTTCCTGCCTACCTTTGTATATATAAAGAATTATTCCATCACAAAGTTTTAAGGGTAAACATAGATGTCCATCCTGTAACGAATTCGCGATTGCTAGTGCACATTCTTCAATTCTCCATCGGCCACATACATGTTTTGGTTAAGACGCGACTAGACATAGATAACTTTATCGGTAGTAAGTCTTCATATCATAAAAAATAAAATCAAGAGTGAGTGCAGTACAAAATCCATTACGTAGAAATGAACATAGGAATCTATTGGAACTGAATCTACTTCTTCTTTCCAGGAGGCGTGAAGAGCATGAGCCGGGAGAGTGGTGCCGGAGCCGGCGGCGGGGTCGGTGTTGGCGGTGGTAACAACACAACGTACACGCGATCGGTAATACCGCGCGAACTAGCCCAGGACTTCGCGAGACCGCCACGCCTCGATGTACTCCTCGATATGCCACCCGCCTTACGAGAAACACAAGTCCATCACAGCTGGAACGCAGACGATCGTAGTCTAAATATATTCGTCAAGGTATTGATTATAGAAATATCGACAGCTCTTTAAAAAGTTTAAAAACATGTTTGAGTAAATCGTGTATCTAACTTTGTAGCTATAATTTATTCTCAATCGTTTATCAGTTAAAGGATCCCGCACTAATTATATGGAAAAAAAAAATGGTTTTAGTCGCTGAAACTGTGATATTTTGTAGCTTAATTGTGAGATGTTGATCAATAACCTCTACAGTCACAGCTACTGAAAAGAAACAATTTTATTGTAGCATCATTTTGAAGTTATTTCGAATCTAACAGTACTGAAAAGTATCTTTATCAAAAGTACCTTCACCAAAAGTAAAAATGAAAATACAGAAAGACTACAATTTTTCGCTTTTTTCATTATATAAGTTATTTGAATATAGACTATCAAAAAAATTATGACTCTTTGATCAATACACTATCTGATATAAATTCGTTTACTTTACTATCACTTTATTGACGTTTCCAAGTTTGTCAGGTATGCTTTAGACTAGAATTTTGACAAATTGAGTTTCTCATTAAACCGTTTTCTTAGGAGGACGACAAGTTAACGTTTCATCGACATCCCGTTGCGCAAAGTACAGACTGCATTCGAGGGAAGGTGGGATATACCAAGGGTATGCACGTATGGGAGCTTTATTGGAGTACGAGGCAACGAGGTACGCATGCCGTCGTAGGAGTAGCAACGGCGGACGCACCTTTGCATAGTGTCGGCTATCAGAGTTTGGTAGGAAATAATGAGCTCAGTTGGGGTTGGGACCTTGGTAGAAATAAACTCTATCATGACTCGAGAAACAACACTGGCGTGACGTATCCAGCTCTCCTTAAGTCCGATGAAACGTTTATTGTTCCTGATAAATTTCTGGGTAAGTAATTCCTGTGTAATTGCAATTGCACGATCGCATAATTCTGAGAATTTATGAATTATTGTGGAAAATCGTGTATTGCAATCAGAGACTTCTTCAAATCAAGATGTATCATAAATTAGAAATTTCTTTATGGGTATCTTAAACTTATCGCAATTTCTCTCTTTACAGTTGTTCTCGATATGGACGAAGGTACGTTAGCGTTCGTAGTGGATGGTCAGTATCTTGGAGTAGCATTCAGAGGGCTCAAAGGAAGGAAATTGCATCCCATTGTGTCCGCTGTCTGGGGACATTGCGAGATCACGATGAAATACATCGGCGGACTTGATCGTAAGCGAATAATCATAACGATTCTTCTAAAAATATAGAACGCCATCTTATGAAGCTATTTAAATCTTAATAGACAATTTTTCTTAATTCATTTTTCAAATATTTATTTAATGGATATTTATTAGATATTACAACGAGCGACCAAAACACATTTGTCAAATTTTGCATTGTTGCAGTTTTCTTCTAATTAGATTTTTGTCTCTTCTCCACAGCCGAACCTCTGCCTCTTATGGATCTCTGTCGAAGAGTGATTCGACAGCGAATCGGTAAACAAAGACTAGAAGACAAGATCAACGAGTTGAATCTACCGCAGACGATGAAGACTTATCTTCTATACCGGGACAGAAGGTAACCACTGAGTGAATCTCCTCAAGATGCCACGATTATGATTGCGAATATCACCGTGTTTAAACGTTGCCACTACGACTCACAGGCGACCGTCCGCTATCCTCTAACACGTCACCAAGAACAGCAACCCCTTAGCCACGCGTCTCCGTTAAGCAAGCGCACGATGTTGAACAGACTGACATGCGTCATGCGCCGACGCGTCGAGACACGCCTAGTGTTTCGAAAAGGCGCGCTAAGAGAACGATGTCGAAATACCGTATTGATAACGACACGTGGCGCCCTTATTAAGACAAGTCACGATGACCGTAATCGTCATCGACGTTATTACCATCGTCGTTAAATTCAATTCGATGAAGACAAAGTTATGAGACAAGATGAAAAAAAAGGAATCTTAAGAAAACACATTTCTAAATTTAGTTGTTTTTAATGTTGTTTTAGGTTATTTATTGTTGTCTCTGTTTTACGTTTCTATTGTACTTCTATCTATGAAGATAGAGAATTATTTATTGATTATTAGAAAGTTATACCGAGAAATCGATGATTTCGGTACTTACTTATTCGTGTATATTATGTGAATTTGTTTTAAATATTCGTTTTACTGACGATACGTGTGTATATAACGAATAGAAATTGTACCAAACGATGACGATGAGGTACGACAATTTGCGCAATGTCTTCGAAGACATGGTTACAGACGAAAGGCAAATGATCATACGAAAACACGAAGAAACACAGCGCTTCGCAGTTGGCCAGTAAAAAAAATTAGATTTAATCAAGCCTGGAGACTGATACGGACGTGTCGCTTACTTACAATGGTTGATCAATAGTGGGATAGCGCTGCTGGCTCTTAATCCTGACGGGGCAGAAAAATGGTGAAACAGCAAGAAGAAGAAAAAAAGCGAACGGAAGAAACCGAAGATGCGAAGAAAGTTTCTACGTCGGCGAATAATTAAAAATTATCGGCGAAGTTGTAATAGATCGCACAATTGTGGAACGATTAATTCAATTTAAAGTGTATAGTGATGGACATCGAGCAGCCACCTTCCAATAGACTCATTTTTCAAGTATTTTCTAAGCATGCTAGATTTAATAAAGTATAGTGGTGTGTGCGTGTTTCGTGGATGGATATAAAACAAAACAGAAACACGATGAAGGAGGCACAAAGGAGCAAGAGAATACAGTTAACCCTGCCATAATATTCTCTTTAGCAGTGTTCGAAATAGACTTTCCAATTGCGAATTCTGCGGGGGAGAGACCGAGTGAAGAATGCAAAGATAAAAGGGTAAGCATCTAAAACTCGCGCTGTGGTGAATCGAATAAAAGACGTCTAAGTAAACTAATAATGAAAAGCATGTTACTAAAATTAATTATCTACATCTAATTGATTTAAAGTGGTATAATGACTTGCGAAAATAGTATGTATTAAACTAATGTTTAAGAGATTTGAATGAATACTTACACGGGCATTGGCACAAATTATTCCAAACGCGAATTGAAACTGTCATGGAGAACCGCTATGTAGCAAATCCGGTAAAAGGGTGATGAGTAACGATTGCGCCGTCGATTACTCATCATAACTATTATTGGATTATCGATCGTAATAGTTACAATAACGACAATGACGACGATAAACAATGATACTGATTATATCGGATGTGTAATTATTATACTATTAGTATGACAAATCTTACGACTGGGCTCTAGTATCTCTTTACTCTTACGTTTGTCGCTTAGGTTAAAGACTATGCCACCGTCAACGGCTATGTTGTATATAGATATATTGATAATATTGTACGACGACGTATACGTGTGCATTGTGGATGATGATTGTATCCGGAACACAGGCAGACCGAATGCGAGAATGGTACCATTCTTCATTGTTTCATATAAGCAAAACAATCATCTCGCGTCGTCAGACCTTCGTTTTGGTCGTATCTTACTTTCTGACGCGCGGGCTTAACGCGATTTCACCTCGATTATTAATCGCTGATGTCATTGTTTGCACCACCGAGCTCGTCCGAGTCTCGGATCGTATCGCGTCTTCCAAATTATCGTTCGTAGCGTTTATCTGACCATTTTACGCCCTATTCAACGTAATAAATCGCGTTTGCTTTTACATCTGTGACGGTTACGTTTCTCCTTGGTGCAATTTCCCGTGAACCTGTTTGAATGAGCCCAGTGTTCGTATACTGGACATTCTAACATAACCACAAAGCATTTGACGAGATTCAATCTCATGTCACATCCGCCACATTTTCAAAAGCACAATCTCGCACTCGGGAGCTTTTGATCTCGTACAGCTTTGGTGATTTTCAATACCCGGGAGCGTAATCTATTACCGACGTTGCTATCTTTTATATCGCAGAATTCGTAGGAAACGCGCACGAAATCTGCGACGTGAACGGATCAAATGATAAACGGACGGATGCGAAGACGGCTCTTTGCGAGAAACGTATCACCTCTCCATCGACACGTCGTCGTCGAAGATAATTCTGTCATATGGTGAAAATTGGGATTGAAATAGAAAGCGAACCGCTGCGAGAGTATTGAAGAGGACTTCTGCACGGAAAAGAAGTCGTTCTCGTTATTTTGATGACTGTATAGTATAGCAGCGGATAATTTACTTTGTCATCTTTTATTCGGCGCCTGTGCATGAAGGCAAAAATGTCGAAACAGTTCTAACGGGAGAATTTTGCAGTTTGCATACCGCGATAGAAAAAAAAAAAATACAATTCTAAGTACGTGTACGAGGGAACAGATGTACCCGAAGACGCGCCTTAAGCGTTTACGATTCAATGTACATTCATTCATGTCGTTCATATATCGTTATACACGCGCGAGAAAACCGAGACACTAGTACACACGCGCGCGCGCACACCTTCAGGAAGGAAGGTTTTTTCCGCAACTATACTTATTGCTACCCGTTGAACCGATACTGTTTTATATGAATTATTGCCTATAGGAACGCATGTTACGAGCCGAGCATGAAAGAGGACAAATAGGATGAAAATATTGTACAAAATTATTATTAATGATTATTATTAATATTATTACTGTATCCCCATATAGTTTAATTAATTACTCGGTCGTCGTTATCGTGTTAGTCAGGTATTTACAAATATTACGATATAATTGTGGTTTAGTTCGTGTACGATAGAAAGAAATGATATGCGATCGATCGATATGACAATTGAACACAACAGAGAATTTTTTTTCGAATATTTTTACCACACTATTCTTTTTCGAACCGTAAAGTTTTTTGTCAATTTTTTGCCTGCGGCGCCATTTTCTTAATTTATAATTTCTACCGCTAAATTATTCCAGCTACCGTTATTTTAGAGAATGATCTACGACTATATTTTTTAAGAACCTGGCAATACTGTTTTAGGAGGAACGACGTTCACGAAGGAACGTTGGAATAAAATACTCCTCAAGTTTTTGCATCTTTGCAAATGTAATATTTGCAAATGTATACAATCTGTAAATATTATCGACAAGACAATTGCCGTTATGGTCAATATTGCCAATTCAAACATACAAAAAACAAGTAACACATTACTAAAAACTCTTATGATTTAAATTGATTTTACGTTATTTAAAGTGACGACTTGTTTGGAGCATAGCAATGAAATAAGAGAATTGAAATGATAAGAATTGAATATGCTGTTTTATTAAGTTATCACATTGACATTTGTATCGGATCGACATTTATCATATATATCAAAAAAATAAATTATTAATAATAGAGTAATTTAGCCTCTTTGATCAGTCTTGCATTGAATATATTCTAAGCTGTTTTATTGTGATATTGTCATATTGACGTTTATATATCAAAGAGATAAATTACTAATAGTGTAATTTAGCTTTTTGATCAATTTTAATTAAAAATTTAATTAAAATTTAATTAAAATGTTTGATGCGATAAAATTCATACATTATTTTTCATGTGATAAATTACATACGTTATTTTTTATTTGTATATTTTTAATTATATTTACGATAAAATTAATAATCAGGAGACGCGGTAGTGTCTCAAAAACAATGTTCAAAAACTGAAAGACATTACAAGTCTCTTGTAGTTAGGCAGTTACTACCCTAATATGTGTGAGTTACTAAACTCTACACATGAAAAGTAACTGATATATTATTAATTAAAGGTGCCAGTACAAAGTGAACATACATAAACTGTATGTAACTTTCGGCCGATTTTCAAATCGCCTCAGCCGTCCCCCTCACCTCACCGCTCCGCGCGCAGATCAAATGTCGCTCGAGCGTCGTGCGGCATTCGGACGCGCGGTGAGGTGAGGTAAGGGGGACAGCGGAGGCGATTCGAAAATCAACCGAAAGTTACATACACTTTATGTATGTTCACTTTGTACCTTTAATTAATAATATATCAGTTACTTTTCATGGTAATATATTATTATTAGATAAAAAGGTTTACATTTTTAAGTACCCTTTTTTGAACATGGCTTGAACTTGTCATTTTTATATGATTTTTATCATATATATACATTATTATAAATATCACATAACACAGCAATTAAACTTTATTTTAAAATATTCATAATTACATTTTAAAATAAAATTGAGATATTTTATTCTATTCTATCTAATGTAAACATATGATATTGAGGTTATTTAATTATTGGTAAAAGTTCGATATTGTCATATATAAATTTAAATTTATTTCTATTGATTGTTGCACTTACCTTACTTTTTATTTTGATACAGATATTAATACACATTTTTATAAAAAGAAAACCATTCTTTCATTATTTTTTCAAAATAATATACCGCAGCTAAAAGTGTAAATCAGTATAAAGAAAAGTTCAGTATAAAGAAAAGTATATCAAATAATATGCACAATCTAATTTTATTATATGACTATTCAATCCAACGTTATTAGAATGTTATAAAATGCGCAATGAAATAGACTGTAAAAATTATATTATATTTTAACTCAATATATAAAACACACATACACATCTGGATTGAATTATATCTGGATTTTAAAAAATCGACAAAGTCAGCTATATTATATAATTTATAATTTTATGATTTTACAGTACAATTTTTTTATTGAGTTCATAGATATATATTTTATTTTGCATTTAAATCAAAATTACATAAGCTTTTTATCTCTGAAACTGAAAAGAAGCTAAAAAGATAGTTGGACTATTCCAATTTTTTTAACTTACATCGATCGATCGCACACAACGATAAGCGCAGGCAAGCTAGCTAACTTTTAATAATAAAACCGCGATAGCGAGTCCAATTCGTCG